ACAGTGAAATGATTTTCCATGTGAAAAGGTGGACAGCAGAAACAGAAAGAAAGTGAAACTAAAAGAGAAACAAAGAGCTTTGGAACAACGAGGCAGCAGGAGGACAGCTGCAGTTTAACAGCTTCAACTCACTGACAGGAAACAACATTAGAAACATCATCATCCTCAACTCATCTGCTGCACTGACACTGACACCTTCAACGGACACACCTTCAGTTTATCAACAGTGTTAATATGGAAACATCCTGTGAGTGAAAGTGTGTGTGAAGGTGTGTATGTGTGTGTTAGTATCAGGATCAGAGAACGACAGCTTTCCTCTGTTCCAGTCCAGATTCACTCTGATCCTCTGGAGCTTCTTCTGTACTGAGAGAGCAGTGAAAGGAGCTGATGGTGATCGTGCTGAGTATTTACCTTTATAGAAAACTATTCTCCATAATCCAGACAGTATGTTTCCCTTCCTCTGCACAGACTCTGCTAACACACCCAGTGCCCACACTGTACTGTCTCCAACATCAACATCCCAGCTGTGAGTCCCTGAGTTAAAGCCCTCAGAGCCCAGGACAGAGATGTAACAATCAAACCTCTCTGGATTATCAGGAAGCTGCTGCTCTCTCCTCCTCGTCTCACACTGGTCAGATCTTCAGACAGGATGAGCTCTGGATGAGCAGTGTTTGGGTCCAGGATGAGAGGAGTGTAGGAGACCATGTCCTTCATGTTGTTCCAGATGTTGAAGGTCAGGTTGCCCAGGTGTTTGGCCTGGTCTATCAGAGCTCCTGAGGGCAGCTGTGGATCATCCAGCAGGGGGCAGCGCTGGACTCTTTCCACTGCAGCCTTGTAGTTGTGCAGGAATGAGACGTCTTCAGCTCTCAGCTCCTCCTCTGTGGCTCTGACTGTGTCTGAAAGAGCTGCTATCTCTCTGCTCAGAGCCTCCATCTTCTCCTTCATCATCCCACTCTTCTGCTCCTCTTCCTCCCTCAGTGCAGCCAGCCTGGCCTCCTCTTCCTCTGCTAGAAACTGCTGAAGCTTCTTAAACTGCTCCTTAATCTGCCTCTCTGTGTGTCGGGCCTGGACCTTAATGTGTTCTGCTGTTTGATCAAACTTCACTTGAACTTCTTCACAAACCTTTAACTTCTTCTTTAAGGGCTCCAGAGTTTCCTGAAGTTCCTTCTTGTGTTGTTGTGCAGCTTCATCGATGGGTCTGAATCTGTGATTGGTGTGTTTTTCTGAGTCTCTGCAGACGACACACACTGGCTGCTGATGGTCCAGACAGAAGAGTTTGAGTTTCTCAGAGTGCAGACTGCAGAGAGCCTCTGAAGCTCTCTGATCTCTCTCCTGTAAGAACGACTCACACAGGTTCTTTAAAGCCAGATTAAAGGTGGATCATCCTTTGAAGATCTTCTCTTACAAACTGGACACTCGTGTGTTGGTCTCTCTCTCCACCATCTCTTCAGACAGTCTTTACAGAAGCTGTGGCTACATGACAGAAGAACAGGATCTCTGAAGACCTCCTGACAGACCGGACAGCAGAGATCCTCCTCTGATCTGGAAGCCATTGAGTCTGTGAGTGAAGCTGAAAACAGCAGACAGGAAGTACAGTCAGTCCTGGCTCCCCTCCCTCCTCTACCACCTTCACTGAAACTTCCTTTGAGTCGTGTTTTTGCTCAAACTCACATTCAGTGTGTGGAGCGTCAGCAGCTTGAAGCAGCAGTGTTGGAGTTTTCCACTTTTCTCTCCTGTAGCTGGACTCACTCAGAGGAAGCTGCTAGTTTGGTCTGAGCTCAGTCTGATCGTCTGTGCGTCTCTCTTTACTGAGGACGAAGAACTTCCTGTTTCCTGGTTTGTCACATTTGAGTGACGTGAGGGGAGGAGAAAATGTTGCTGTTTGACTTTTAACTAAGGTGTGTTTCAATCCTGCCTGCAGCTCAAAAGCTGTAAAACAGGTTTTGTGTCTTTTCACCTCCACAGGTCACAACATGAAACCTGTTGTGAAGTTTATAAAATAAAGTGTCACTCGGTGGTGCAGCTGTTTGTCAGCTTCTATTTTAGACTTTGTTCTGGTTCTTGTTCAGGTTCCCAGCAGTGGGAGTGTAATGCAGTCACACACACACAGGTGGTGTTAAGGTGGATTCACTTAGTTACAGACAGTGGTGTTATTTCCTGTAACTAAGGGTGTGTTTCACTCCAAAGTTCAGACATTAACCTGCCAGAAGTTGTAAAAGTTACTGATAAAGAGCTTTTATCTCATTTCACATGTTGTCCACAATCTCCTCGTGATTACCTCTGGAAAGCCCCGTGGCACAGCTCTCCATCCAGTGCAGCTTTATGGTCATTGCTGTGGTTCCAGAATCTTCTCATGATGACCAGTAGGTCCCCAAACAGCATGACCTTTGACCTCAACCCCTGCCTGGGCTGTCAGCTATGGTCCCTACTTCTCGCTGGGTCTCTGAAGATTTCTCAGGAGATTCCACCCTTGGGATCATTTCTTCCAGCAATGCTCTGCTGCACCTGCATCTCCTCACTAGAGGAAAAACTTCTATTTGGAAAACATGTCAACCATCATCAAACCAAAATTTCCTTTCAGTTCAGTGAACTTCACTTATCAAAAAATATAATTATTTATTATTTATTAATTATATTATTCGTTTACACGTTTTCACTTTCACTTATAGGCCATCAAAGTGTTTATTATCTTTACCCAAATAATTGGAGCAGAACTTGTTCCATATTCAGTTTTTCAGCAAAACGTGTTTGAGAAAAGATTCATTCTTATATCTGGAGGAATAAATATATTTCAATAAATATTAACGTTAGCCTGCGACTTTGTTCCAGTTTTGAATTTTGGCCCACTGTGTATTTGAGTTTGACACCCCTGATCTAACCTCTCCTCTTCCTCACAGCTCTGATTTCTCTGAGGGAGATGTTGTGACTGTAATCTGTGAGGAGGACCAAAGCTTTTCTGATTGGACTGTGAGGAGAAACACCAGCAAACTGCAGAGGGCTGAGTGTGGAGATGGGCGGGGACAACAGCAACGTGATCAATCATGTTCAATCAGTACGCTGGTGCCTCACGACACCGGAGTTTACTGGTGTGAGTCCAGTAATGGTGCCATCAGTAACCTGGTTAATATCACAGTCACTGGTGAGCTGATCACTCTCACTTTACTTCTTATTGCATCCACAAATTGAGCTGAACATGCAGGTACATAGATTCTGTGCTGTTCTTCACTGATCACCTACCTGACTGACAGAGTGATGAAGGACTTCCCTCCCTCGGTGCTTCTTAATGTGTGAGGATATTCTCCATTACTGAGTTAAGACTTCCTTATTTAGATCTAAGCTCTGGATTATCTTGCACGTCTCGTGGCTCCCAAATGTCTCTTAAGTTATTATCATCTGTAGCCTCATACTTTAGCTTTACTTGGCAAATGTGAATGCTTTGTGTGCTGACAAACCCTTTTGCATGTAGTGTTTTTATGAAAAGCCTTATAATTGCCTAATTTTGTGTTTTTGTTCTGTTACAAAAGCAGGCATTCTTACTGTTGTTTAATATTTTACTCAAACCTTTAAGTTTAATTCAACACAAAAAGCCCCACTGTAAACAAATCCACAGAACAGAACCAAACTCAGCAGCCAAACAGTTTGTCCTCAGTGCAGGTCGACATTCAGAAAAACCAGCTGCCTCAGCTTGGATGGGCTGATGTGCTTTCTCCTTAGTATCTGCCCAGTTTTTGAGAAGACCCTCCAAAGGAACAGATGTTGCCACAATGCACAGTCTCCCCTCCATCACCTTCAACAGGTAGGGAAAGACTGTGGCCTTGGCCTCCCACCAGCTCTGTGGGCCTTCTTGTTGGATGAGGGGCTCCTCAAGATAACATTTCATCTCCATCATAACATCAGCTGTAGTATTTCTCTTTGCAGCATCTCCTGTAGCTCTTTCATCAAAGAGGCTCCACACAGCAGACGTCTGTGGCTCCTCCTTCACTTGGCCCTGTAATGGTGGAGCTGGGTGGGAGTGCACTTTGCTGCTGCAGTTATTCTCTGAAGTGCCTCATCAACAGCTCTGTTGTCACTGAATGCAAGCTTTTTAAATCTACCATCCAGTGATGCAGCTTCTGAGTGGACGGTGTTGAACTCCACACACAGAAATTTTTCACACTCACTGCTAATTTTGTTTTACAGTGAAGCCACTCTGCTCTGCTAGTCCCAATATCTTTCACCTGCAGCAGATGCTGCTTCGTTTGCAGCTGTCAGTCATATTTCTGTGTTTTTGTGTCGCACTCTCCTCCACACTGCTGTCTGTCATCTCACAGGTATGATGTGCGGAGCGATGCTGAACTTCCAATCCCAGCGTTTCATGTTGCAGGATCAATTCCCATATGAAAATATCAATATGTAATTTGATTACATTTGTTTTTCATCATAAATATGACAGACAGACAAAAGTAAATTCAGCAATTAGCGGGATGGTCTGCAATACCCTGTTAACAGGAACTACACTCACCACCTCTCATTCATGTGCGTGTTACGGCTCTGCAAGAGTGTGAGCCAATGAGAAACCAGAGGCACAAAACTTTAGACCACAAAACACACAATCTGATGTTGGTTTGTAAAGATGTTGCTGATGAGACTTTGTAGAAAGCAGCTGGTCTGAGTGATGTGATCAGAGTGCAGCAGATAATGTCTGACAGCAGTTTGAAGAGCAAATGGATTCTGTTCTGTTCTTCATCATCACCTACCTGACACCTCACAGCTGTTTCTCACCTGCAGGTCACACAGGAGGATCTGTTGGACTGAAGGTCAGCCTGTCAGTTCCTGCTGTGCTTCTTGTTGCTGCTGTTTTCTTCATGTAGAGAAAACAAAAACAACAAAAGAATCAGGATCCAGCCTCATGTTGAGCTGCAGCAAAATAAAATGTCTGAATCTTTTTAAATCAGCACTCTTAGTCTCCCGCTGGTGGTTTCAGCGTTGTCAGTGAACCTGGGGAACATGAGATGATGCTGGTAACAGATCAAAGGTAGTGAACAGCAGACAGGGATCAGCTGCAGGTTTAATACACGTCCTGAATTTGGTTTAGTTTGAAGTTTCTGTAAAATAAAACCAAACGTTGTGATTTGTCTCTTTATAAATAAAGTTGAATTGAATTTCTCTCTGAGCTCCTGCTTCTGTTGTCTGTCAGTGATTTTATCAGTTGGACATCAAGTAAAACTTTGGATAAAATGAAAACTGTTCACACAGTGTCTGTAAATCCACGGGTGGAAATAACACATGTAACATTCACACAAGTCCACGAGTGATTGAATGAAATGTGATCATGGAAAAATAAATTCAAAACTATTCAAGACTTTTACCATTAACTGTCGTTCTATTATGAAGTAACAGGAAGGTAATAACACTATAATATAATAATAATAAAGAAAATTAAAAAATATGGTGTAACAGAGCTCACTGCCTCACACTGTCGACAGCAGCATTTCTTTTTAACCTTATTTCATTTAAGGCTCAGACTATCATCTGTTTTCACTTAACTCATTGGCCAGGTCTTTGTTTGCTACAACAGTGGGTGGGGGAGGAATCTGTGGCTGGTGATTTCCTTCAGGCCCCTCCACACTGACACAGGGTCGTTGGCTGAGAGCTTCTGGGAGTAGATATTTTTAGCTGCTTTGATCTGCTTGGTCAGTGTGTTCCTGGCTTGCTTGTACAGGGCCCTGTCACCACTTAATACTGCAGACTTGCAATAAATACAGTAAGTTGTCCTAACAGTCATCTTAAGTAAGCTTTACTTAGTTTTTTTGAGGCAACGAGTTTGCATAGTTTTTTGAGTTCTGGAAGCTAAATAGGTTTTTACTCCGTACTCAAAATGAATAAGTTGCCTTAACTTAGTCATCTTAGGCAAATATTACTCAATATTTTTGAGGCAAAGAGTTTGCATAGTTCTTTTGAGTTCTGGGAACTAAAGAGGTTGTACAGTCTTGATGTCACGGCGAGTGAGGCGAGCCGTGTGGAGGCAATGAAGGAGGATCCAAACGCAGGCAGTCGTGAAGGTGTGAAGGTGGTTTATTGAGCATGAAAGTAAATACAAACGGCAAAGGGAGCTATGACTAACTAGACTGGGAACAAACTAAACTACAGAACACGAACCTGAACATGAGCAGAAACACTTGGCGGTTGACAGCAGGGAAACACACAGATGACGCAGGGTGGGATACACAGACGGACCAGCAACTACAATGACGGAAGACATGACTTAAATACACCGAGAATCACAGGGAAATAACACACAGGTGGTGGACGCAGCTGGGAGTGATCAACAAGACGAGACAAAGGTAAAACTGAACACACTCACATGAGACGCAGACCTTCACAATAAAACAGGAACAAGAAACCATCACACAAAGGCGCAGACTCGACATAGAGAGACAGACAGAAAATGACACATGGAACTGGACAAATACTAAGCCGACACAACTGAAGAACGAATCCTAAACATAAACAGAAACATGAAACTCAAATAATAAACATCATAATCATCATCATAAACAACAAGAAAACAATCCCAGAAGTAAACTAAAACCAAAATACAATAAACTCAAAAATACTGGGTCCAACGGACCCAGAACCGTGACACTTGATGCATTCTCAATCATCCAGGAAAGTAAATCTCCAGAAGTTGATTCTGTTCATCTGGACGTAGCGTTTTGTGGGAGAAAAACACTCCCACAAAACGCTACGTCCAGATTAGTGATGGTAAATTTGATTCTTTTTACTGAATCGAGTTTTAATGAGTCACTCACCAAAGTGAATCGGATTTTTTTGAGTCATTTGATTCACTGAGTCAGTCGACCAGAGAGTGCAAAAAATGTACATTTTCACTCAAACTTAATTTGTTTCTCTTTTCATGTATATTCTACTGCTAAGATGAATGATTCTAAAAGAAAACAAATATATTATAGAGCAAAAAAGAGCAAAAAAATTCTAAAGGGAACATTTATTTTGTTTATTTTTATTTTATTAGTATTTTCCTTAAATGTGTCAAATATATGTTTTCTCATCTAAATGTCCACTGAGCTGTGAGCCAGGGGGCGGTAATGCGCCTTAACATTGGTTGCCAACCAAGAAGAAGAAGAAGCTGTGAGCAAGAAGGGAGGGGGTGAGCGAGTCCTGAGTGATTCGCAGTCTCTATGATTCAGCACAGGAAGGGAAGAGGTGAGTAGCTCAAATGTGCTGTTAGCATGTTAGCAGAGCGATGCTACTGTGAACCGAAGAGCTATTGTCTTGATGTGAGCTTCTACTCTGGGTTTTTTCTTCCAGTTCAGAGCAGAAATGTTTTTGTTAAGATACTGGATGTTGTGTTTTTCTCCACAATTTTAATTATACGCAAGATATATTGCTGCTAACAGCAACAGGGATGAGTCAGTGAGTCAGTTGCGCTTGTGAATCATGATTCACGAGTCAGTAAAGTGATTCTCGAGTATTGAACAATTCGTTCATGATTCGTGCATCACTAGTCCAGATGAACAGAATCAACTTTTGGAGAGGTTGTACAGTGTACTCAAAATGAGTAAGTTGCCCTAGCTTAATCATCTTTAGTAAAACTTTACTCAATTTTTGGAGGAAACAAGTTCCCATAGTTTTTTTGAGTTCTGTGAACAAATTCGATTTTACAGTGTATGTGACTCTGCTGTAGCACTGAACTCCTTTTGTAGACATCGGTGTGACCCTATAGAACATCGAACCAGAGCATGCTGAAGCAAGTTATAAATTATGAGTGAGACAATTTAACACATTTTTGTGGATCCCCTGCAATGCTCAGGTCTTGCTGTGCTATATACAAATATCCTTTGAGAGACTTGTTAGGTGGTTGCCAGGCAACATGATGGCATCAATATATGTGATTTAGATAAGGGGCCTTGTATGTACCTGTGTGCCAAATGTGCCAGGAGCTTGTGGGTAGTTTTTGCTCATATGTGATGCAGACTGTTTTACTAATACTAAGTTTCTGAGGGCGATGTCCTGCTTCTTGAGTCAAAGATGAGCATAAAATGAGGAGTCACAAGTCTCTAAGAACTCTCAATAGAAACTCCTGGGAAAGATTTGAACTAGTCAATTAAAGTGCTGCACAGCAGGAGTTAAACACAGTTTGAGCTGTGTGGTGTCTCATAAATTACTCAGTTACTCAATTTACTTTATTACTCAAGTAATAAAGATGGAGCAGACAGTTCTCAGTGCGTCTACCAGAGGAATGGGTGGTGGGAGAGGCCAAAGACAGGTGGTCATCTCAATCTCTCAGCCACTAATCAAACTGTAATTTTAGGATTTTATATTTATCTGACAGTTTGTAACAGGCAAAATATATGATCATCAAATAAATTATTCACTACAACAACAACAACAACACAACACATATATTTAAGAGTTTGCATTAGATATTCCTTGAGCAGACTTGCTAAAATAAACCCTTTACTCAATTTTCAGTGCAGCAAAGCGTTATCTTAGCACTTCCTATAACTGTACTATGATTAATGTAAGTAGGAGATATATGTCTTTGTAGTAGTACTATTAGTAGCTGTGTAGAAGTATTAGAGTTGTTTCTGGTATCAGTAGCCCTGAGTAAGGGCTACTGCTTTGGTGCCCTGTGCTTCCCGCAATGTAAATTTCTAACTGCAACAATGAGTGAGAAGCTTATCTTCATCCAGCGACAGTTATTGTAGGTGATACCTTCATAGCTAACCAAATGAGAAGATGGTGTTTCCAGTTAAAACTGCAGCTGTTATCACCCTAAATAAATTTTATTCAAATAGGCCATCAGGACATTACCTTCAGGACACCGCTGTGTTCACCTGCTGTCTACACAGTATCGGAGTGACGCAGAGTTTAAAATATTACTCTTCCTCAGTCACAAAATAAACTTTTAAGATATTTTCAGGCGAGAATCTAGCTGTGTAAACTTCAAATATCTACTCGATTTATCAAGACATCACATATTTGTAAAAGTGTTCTAACGTTTTCCGAGATGTGGGGCAGTCCACAGTGGGTTTATAGTGTGGATCTGTGACCTGCGTGAGAATCAGCTTCCTGATTCTTGAAGAAACACACAGACTGGAAGCTGAGGTTATGTCAGCAGCAACAAGTGTGAACATTTCACAGATAATGTGTAATCGGTTATTATCAGGATTTAAAAACTCCCCACAAAATCTTTAGCTGATGCAAAATGCTGCAGTAGAGTCCTGACAGGGACTAGAAGGAGAGAGCAGTTTTCTCTTATTCTGGCTTCTCCTCATTGGCTTCCTGTTAAATCCACTATTTCAAATTCTGCTCCTCATATACAAGGTCTTTAATCAGGCCCATCTTATTTCAATGAGCTCAAAGTACCATATGTCCAAATCATGGTTCAACAGCAGCTAGGTGGATGTCAGCGGGTTACATGGTGGAGATAAATCCAGGGTTTGGGTTTGTTTACAGCTATAAACTCAGTTTTTAGAACCTTTTAACACAATTACTGACAAATAACACACTCAGAGTACTAAACACACTGTGTACAGGACTGTTTGGTGTTTGCAGAGATGAAAATGATACAAACTGCTGAGCTGTTGAACCAGCTGATCCAGCCTCTTATCTGAGCTGGAGTCAGTCTCACAAACAGACTGAACAGGATGTGTTCTGTGCAGCACCTGCATATAAAACAGAAGCAAAGCTGTTCCTGTGAAATGAAAGTGAAAGCCTCTCTGAGCGTCTCCCTGTAGAGAATGGAGGCTGAGCTCAGTCAGATCACTCAGCCTGCAGACAAATGGAGGCGTGTTTGAGACGTGCAGATAAACAGTCACAGTGCAGGCAGACAACATGAAAGATGAGGAAATCCATGAGAACTGTGCAGAGGACTCTAAGGGCTGAGACTCTGTGAGAGCTGCATGATTATAAAGTGACCTCTGTGATGTGCAGAAGAGCACAGAGCACGACTCACTGTCAGATCATCAGCTGACACTGTGACACGTGTCTGTATGTGCACATCTTTACTTTTAATAAGATGTTTCAACATGCAGACATGAATCTGACACAGTAACAGCTGCCTTTGTTTCAGATCCAGCAGAGAGAAGAAGAAGCTCATCCCAGTTCACTGACAGAGATAAAGTTTTGGCACTGCGATTACG